CTTTTAGCTACTAATTGCCCCCAACCCATTTCAATCTAAAGACATAACATTCGTATCATGATGATTTTCTCTCCTACGGTCCAAATACATTACAGTTGCATGTTTGGTCGTTAAAACTGCTGACGAAATGCTGATATTAAGCCAACGGTCCTGTGATTTTATTATGTAAGACGGAGCTACATCCCCTTGAAGCACGTTTCCTCTACAAACAACTGTTGTCAAGTATGCAGTTTATCCAATCAAGACACCCCATTGTTTATCCCCAGTAAATGCCCTTCCTTCTAGCCTCTTTTGAAGTTATCAATAGGAGACTGCATACAATTTTTGGTAAATCCGCAAAAAATCATTTTGACGAGGTTAATGAGACTTAGAGTCCGCGGCTTCGAAACAGGCGAATTTATAATTGATAGTTATGCCCTCAATGGCTTGATTTATACAAAAATTTAATCCCAGGATCGTATTAACGTGTCTTTCTTGCAAACTGTACAAATGATTGATTTAGTCTTTGTCCAGGATCTCCTTAAGGTACACTAGTTTTTAAAAGCATTTGTGACTTGTCAGGTCTATTTATTTTTTCATTCAAACCAATCTGATCATTGCTTGCTGTATGTTTTTGAAGTCTTCGTTTGTTAAGTCGTTTTGGCTAAATCTATGGAAAAGAAAACAAAGCATTTATTTCGCGCAGAACCCTTTGAAAATAGCTTTGCAGCCCGGCGATTACAGTTGTCGTGAATAGTTTTGTGATCTTTCGTGACGAATATGGACAGCAGGTTGGCAATTTCAATAACGTGTCTAGGAAAATATAGACCTTCCCAGAGTCGTTCAGATTTTACGGTGAAAAACCGTCATGCAAAAGAAGAAATCGAGTTACTATGGGGCATGAAGCGATGTTGAAAAGGGAGAAACAATAGCAAGAAATCTGAACTAGTATCGCGTATAACATTCTGGAAAAACGCTTCTTCCCCCGCCCCACCCACCCCTAAACCCCAATAGCATACTATGTAATAAAGAACACTTCAATATACTACAACATACAAGAAAGCTTATTATGTGTTCAAGGCCATAGCTACAGAGTAAGGGGGTTTCAGAAGGGGTGGGGTGGCACGCAAAATTAGGTGTTTTAGCCATTTAAGGGAGCTTCGTTGGAGAATTTTCAATCTTGTCAGCAAATTAAAGATGGCTCCCCGCATTGCTGGCAAATGAAACCAGGAAATCTGGCACAAGAGCTAGCGAAGGTCCTGTATGTAGGGTTGCGTATGACGCACATTAAGAGACCCCGGCTACATGAGCAAAAAGAAGAACAGTTAAGCTGGATTTCGACAAGGCGAATCTTCGCGCGAATCGAATAATGTACCTCTGGGAAATAGGCCCTTGCGAATACATCCCAAAAGATTTGTTGACCAAAATTAGAATTGTTGACCAACATCGACAGCTTGTAATATTTGATGTCACAGGAGTAAATTCGAAACTGGAACATGTTTTGATACAGCGATTGGTCACTTTGCAGAAGGGAAAACCGTTTTGACAGATTTGGATTGTAGTCTGCTTTCTGCGAATCGATTTTTTCGCTGCAGAATTTGAAAGAACCATACCATGCATGCCCACATGGAAAGACTTTGATGTGCGCAAAAGAATTCGCGCAGTGGAAATCAAGCGGTTTAGAGATCATTTCGTAACATGTACTCCTTTTCAATGAATTCCCGCAGCTGCTTAGTGTAATCAAGATTGAGTTTTAAGAAATCATTTCCCAATTACTCAAAAGAGTACTGGGAAACTCTTGGGGGTTAGTCCAGACGCAAGATTGCTTTGTTTATCGCAGTGTTGTCCCGGTTTAGCGAATAGCTCTTCATGGCGTGCACTTAATTTCTTGCGCGTCAAACACAAAGCATTCTGGGGACAGCCTCAAAGGGCTGCTTACCGTTAATGCCAGCTGGCTGCCCAGCTCGCGTGTTTTGAATCGTACATCCAACGTATTTAAGATTCCCAAGACGCGGAAGAAGTATGTTCAAGAATATTCAAGCCCCCGAATGTTGCAATTAATTGTTTAAGAATATCCCTCGTAGATGTTGAATATTTGCATTTTATTTTTATTACCTTGGATAAAACGGCCGCATGATTGTTATTTAACTCTGCACTCATTGCTTTATTTTATTACTAATTTTGTAAAAACCCAACATTTCATAGACATTTTAGTAGATGATTTGTTAACAAACAAGCTCGAGTGTTTGTGCGTTTCACGTTTTTTCCTAACTTACCTCCACATTTTTCTAGGAGTTTCTCAATGTGTCTTGGATTTAACAAACCATTCTACGGCTACATATTATTAATATCAGTTTTTGCATTGTGAACGACCCCGGATACCAAAAAGCTTAATAAGTATTTTAAAAACCTAGACCAGAGCCGCCCAGTGAAGCGTTCAGCACCCACAAGCTTCCTTTCGGTTCCTTTCTCAAGAACACTATGTAACCAAGGCGGGTTTGGCGTGGTCCCATTATAATTTTTTATTGGCATATGCCTTCCTCAAGCTCTTCTTAGGCAAATGTCTAAATGTCAACGAAAGACATATTTAGTGAAGGGTTGTACTGCGAGCGATGCTATAAATGGATTCAGTGTTTCGATCAAGTAGGCACTAAATTTGTATATGTTGCTACATAGCATCCGAAGGAGTCTTTGGCACTAAGAGGCTGGATGGTCAAGCAGTTCCCTGGTCCTTCTTATCGTTGTGACAACACATAATGATTCATATGCCTGGAATTACAGACCTAACGACTCCTTCACACTAAGTTAAGGCTGGCCATCTCTAACCTTAGAACTCTTCTAATCCTAAACTCTTCAAAGGTTTTAAAAATCTAGCTTATGTTAATTATAGCCAGCCGACTGATGCCATGTTTGACTCCACCCTTTTTTGTCTATTTTTACTGCCTATTTTTCACATAACGCTATGCTCTACGGGTATGTGCTGTGTGGTAAGAATACCTTGCTCTATGTTATATGTACATCCTTGCCTTAGAATTTCGATGCATTAATTATTTTAATGCCAAGTCAAAAACACGTCTTGCGGTCTCTTTGCCTCGCAAAGAAACACTCGCTAGGATTTTTTCTGTTTCATGATCGTATCTCTGATCTTGAAATAACCTTAATCAACACGAAAGTGTGTACTTTCAAAGCATGCCAACGTCCCAAAGAAATTCACGGAATATGCATTTATTATTTATTCGATGCCAAAACTAACTTGATGTTATCAGAATCAGCACCTTCCGCTTGAAATGAAATGCCCACAGAGAAATATTCAGGGGGTTATGCAGAATGTAAAAAAATTTCAATTTCGCTTCAAGTTCATAAAAAAGAATTTATTAACCTAACTGTTTTGGTTTTCGTTTTTGATATAATGATCTAAAACGAGGCGCTGGCTATAACTGAGGCCACAAAAAATGGCTATTTTGAGTTGGCTCATGTTTCATTGATGTTCCCAAAAAGGGAAGCATTTCGCTTGCAAACATAGCTTAACTTCGCCCAAAACTATTTTAATATGAGGATATTATCCATAAGTCCTAATATGGAATTTCTTCGACTAATCAGTTTATTAGAGAAATTTATAGGAATTGGAGAGCTTTGCGCTCATTGGTTAAGGCCAAGGATGAAAATTCGAAATTATTTGCAAAAATTGGTCAGGAGTCTAGGTCTAGGCGCGTAGAATAAATTGTGCTGTTCCTCAAGCATCCTGATTTGGTCCTGGAGGCAGTGACTGATAACGGAAATTAATAAACAGGGTCTTATGCGCTCTTGTGAAGGAATGCAATTCGAATAGACAATTTAATGAATGAAAATATCTAAGAATTTGATTAACAAAATAAGCACTGTCTATCAACAATGAATGATTTTGATGCAAAACTTGCGTTGTGCCATCGAAGGCAAAGTGTCTATTAAAAATGTCATAATTTCTCATCGCTAGCAAATGCTTGATTTTGAATTTTGTTCTTAATACGTATGATAAAATGGCAGCAATCTTTGCAATATTTTGATACTAGATGGTCTTTTAAATGTGATAGTTAAAGCCAGCGCCTCGATACATCATCAATACACTTCAAAATGTGTGATTCTTTGTGACTCGTAAAGCATTCTTGAGAAGAACGTTTATATCTTTACTTCTGTCTTTTCAATACTAAAATATGAAAGGAATAGAAGCATATTAGCATAGTATACAAGCTTGATGAGTGTAAGTCGAACTTCATCAAGGTGGCGATGAGGTGGCTAAAGCTCGTATGGATAGATAGAATGTCAAAATGTCGATAAATGTCAAGCCTGCCTATTATTTTTAATTAATTCTTAAATTTCACCAACTTCAAGCTTTAATACTCTTATGAAGTTTCTTTCTATTAAACGTGTGTAAACTTTAGAGAAACGGAAGAAAAAATTAGTGTACCCTTAACTACGCCTGTCACTTTCTGTTATGTACTCATGAATCAACCTTTAACTGTTGGCTAGAAAAGAAGAGGGCAACATACGTCGCAAGGAGACTATCGCAAATCATAAAGCAGAAAGCCCTTTTGCATCTCACAAATAGCTGAAACTAATACATCTTTCTGGTTCTATTAACGGGAGATCTTCTACAGCTAGGTCTATACATTCATATCTGCATATCATTTCAATCGTGGCACTAATTCACAAAATAACGATCACCGGGATGCGTTCTCTGCAGTTGTGCGTTTACGCTGTATAACGAACCTGTTATTTCCTGCATTTTAATCTAAGTTGTAGATATCCTGGCTAGAGATCTTGTGTAATAAGCCGGGTATGTTAAATCCTGTAGCTTGTGAATAATTTATGAAGAGTCTTTTAGCAGGTAAATTTGCCATGTGTACGGTGATAAACAGGGCAACACTACCGAGAAGAGCATTCCGTAATGACATCTATGTTTGCGTGCAAAGATCTGTCACTCTAATGTAGCGACGTCGGGTTTTTGCCAGTGCCTTTATTCAATCGCTATATTGTTTTCCTAGGGCTAGCAAAGTACAAGACGGACACAAACCAGGTTGAAAATGGGAAAGCAGAACAGTAAACTGAAGCCAGAAGTGCTGGCAGACTTAAAACAACACACAGAGTTTAACGAACATGAACTGCAGGAGTGGTACAAAGGTATGTCCTGTTTAAAAACGATTTTTTTTAATCGACTGCGGATTTTTTTGTCTGAGATTGCAATAAATGTTATGCCGGATTGTTGAGGCAGCGTTGAGTTTTAGGAGAGTTGTTTGAGAGTTTTTGAATGTTTTCATGGGTAGTATGCGGTTGCTCCATTGATTTGATTGAGTCAATAACTGTGTTGTTAAACAACCTTTGAGAGCTTTGTTAATAATTATAAACCATAGTGTTCGAGGTAACATAGATATTCAAGGCGAGGGTAGTTTCATTGTTGTTGTTTTTGTCTGGGAACAGTGTATTCATCCATAGAGATATTCACATACATCTGAGCAGCAACAAGTTTGAAAGAGTCTTTCCTAATAATTTGCCCATACAAAATCACGATTCATAGTTCATATAAATTCTAATTAATTGATTACCAAGATGAGACGCGTTCGCGACACTGCATCCTCTTTTTGGGGGTTTCCCCGAAGATAGTCTGGTAAACAGTGGCAAATATAGCAACAAGTGGAGTGTATGTGATTTGAAAGTTGCTGTTGGGATTTCCCCAAAGACATCTATCATCTGTTAAGTTATTTGTCTGAGAATATTATTGGCCAAGAAGCCTTTGTCGTACACGACATGATAATTTGTTGGCTCAGTAGCCGCTTTCGCACACGACAGTTTTAGTCAGACATTCAATGTTTTTAACGATGTTTTTTAAGATTTTTCAAAACTGCTGCTGTTAACTGAGTCAAAAGACAAGAAAATGCTGACTTACCTTATAAGGAATTGTTACGTCATATGAAGCTGTTTTCATCTTAAAAAAGATAAATCAGTTAGATTTTTAGCATTGATCATGTGACTTGCTTTTCATCTCAAAGCAACTCCTAAGAACACTTCATTAAAAGGCACTATGTACCGCCGCATCTCACTGGCCATTTAAATTCCTATTGGTTAGACTATACAATAGACCTATTGTTACGGAGCCAATCAGCTAATCAGCAATCGATGCTTTCTCGATTTAAAAGACGCTGCAATGTCTTTTGTCAACTCTGAACGATTGACTGCCGGAACAAAGTACATTTAAATGCTACAATTGGAATGTTTCACTTGCTTTAACCTTCAAAAAAGCTTCCATCCTCATTCATCTGCGATGTATGTAAAAAAGTACCACGTAAATATCTGCGTTGGTCTTTCTCTTTTGCCAGATGTTCTACATGCTTGTTCATGCATCATTTATCATCTTTTATTGTTAATATCACAATTTCAATTTAACTATTAAACGCCCCCTTCCTAGCCCTGGCCTTTCTGAAGGGCTTCAATGCATTCCCACGAATCTTCTGATATAGCTGACTCTCACTTGCATCTTTAGTTTCTCATGGCTAACCGATTTGGTGTTTGTATCGACCTAGGTTATTTGTGTCAGTCTCACAAACATGTTTTTTTCATCGGGTTGACGTTAGTCTCTTCATCGGGAATTTAAATATTACTAAATTATGCATTACGATTTTTCAAGTCTTTTTTTTGTAAGCGTAACGATAAAAAGGTTATTATGTAAGTTCTACGGGAAAATATTCATGATTTATTGGGAGAAAAATTGGATTTCTCAGTTAGTGCTTCTGATCTTCGTCTTTCAAAATTTCTTTAATCTCCCACACGAATGTCCTGGCACTCTGTTCTTCCCCTTTTCTGAAGATCTGACATTAACCGAATACCAATTTTGCCAACAAATTTTGCCACTTAGGCAGGGCCGCCACTAGGCGGGATGGGCCCGGGGCAAAGGACTTGACGGCCCCCCAATTTGCGCCGAAGACCCAACAACCTATTCCCCTGGCAGAACCCCCTTTCGGTGCTACTATACTTGGGATACGCTTACAAAATCATTGTGTGAATTTTCTGAATCAATGCAGCATGTTTTTTACACCCGGCCTTTTCTTTCGAAACAGCATGTTGTGAAAAGGCGCATTGTGTATCAAGGAATATGCTTCAGAATCGCTTCATGGTCGTATCGATTCCCGTGGTGCAGTGCGCGAGTTTTTAAGTATTGCCTGGCGGGCTCCATTAATCGTAGGCCAAGTTAGCGTAACAAGTCTGGCACTGTCTCATCAAAAAGGCACAATCTCTCAGCTTTTTGTGTCACATGATTGCAGATTATCAGTTGCAGCAGCTAAGCTTGATCATTAGCTACGTCACTTCTGATTTAAATCAACTTGCACTGAGGCTTCTCATCCTTCTTATTGTTGTAAGTAATTATGTTTCGTTTGGCCGTTTAAAGGCTTTGAGTCGATGTAGAACGAACAGCATCGCTCGTTGAAATGGATCTTTGGTTTTCCTGCATCTTGCCTGCTCGTCATCTGTCTAACATTCACCAATCATTAACACGCGTCCAATCATTTAAAAAAGACGATGTTTTCCGGCTGTCAATTTCAAACCTGGTGTTTTTCCAGTCAACTAATGGAAATTCTATTTTCAACTTTCATGACAAGCAGTTTTGATGTCTCTTTGACAGAGCTGACTTAAAAAATCACCGCGTTCTGTTTATTTTCTCTGTTAATTGTTTGATTTTACAAGTCTTGTTGATTCATTTTCATTAGGCAGAGGGGATGATATCTAGGTGAAAATGCAGTTCTTAGTTGAAGCTAATTAGTTCTGCGGAGGGAGAAGTTTTGGCTTTTTTGATCCCCTGCACAGTCGCTTAAAAACACAAATGTATGGCGGCAGGCCAGCCATTTCTTGCTTATTGAAATATATAATATATATATATATATAATTAAAGAGAATAGGCAAGTTCTAAGAACTGTATGGTTAATGATGCTTCAGTTTTATAGCGGTGTTAGATTTTCATTTGAAATGGAGTAGACGTGAATCTGTATTTAGTTTTTTTGTTTTTTTAGCATTTTCACCAGCCTTCTGGTCACCATTGTCTAAGATTCGAAGGATGTTTCTCCATATATGGTATCTTAGATGCTGCTATAGTTCGGACTTGAAATACTAAGAATCAATCATGTAGCGTCAAGAAAAGTCTATATTGTAGTTTATTGTCTTGTGAGACACCGATATAGTTCAGCTGACAATTGACGTTGCCTTTGAAGAGGCGCTGATCGCTTGAAGGAAATATTTCATTAGTTGAACGGGCTGTTTCTCTCCTCAGCAATGCGCTGGTTTAGAAATGCTTTGTGTCCTGATTCATTAGTTGTGCTTTGGCATATTCTTGACAAATTGACTTTTCCGTTATTGAATGGCCAAGGCCTGCTCTTCTAACCAATTCAATTGCATAAGGTGTCACCACCTGTACATATTTGAGCTTTGTATTAACCTTTCTTAACATCGCCTACTATATTAAACACGTCGGCCCGGGTTGCGGACTAAAATAAGATTCTCAAGCTACTGCGAAATGAATTGGCTTAATGTCGTGTTTTGTTATTCTATCCCAAAATTGTTGTTTCCTATTTTCAAACGAATCCATTGTTATCAGCACCATTCCTATCGTTCTATTATGGCTAGATCCACGGTTTTTTATTGAGAACAATTTCGTGAGTATTTTAAATCGGCTTTGCGTCTTGCGAATTTGCAAACACATGCACGAAATGATTTTTTTCTTAGTCGATAAAAAATTAAAGCAAAAATTTGGAAATTGAGCTTCACCTTGCTTGAAGATTTCAAAATCAAAGAAATATGTTACCCGGGCCGGCACTTGGGTTCTCGCTCTGTAGTGAAGAGGAGGAGCCCTATACAAAACGGATGCGTTTTTCAGATTATCGACATTACTGAGACAAACACAGAGTCTTGGGAAACCCCAAATGTCATTTTTGGAAACATAAAAAAAACTACAACCTTTTGGTTTTGGTTCTAGCTTTGGGGGTCGCCTGATAAAACCTGATTGCAGTCCAGGTTTATGATATTGATTATATACCTTCTGCATTTTTTTCGGAAAGATTAGCACAGTAGGCTAGAAACAGCCCATTGTAAACATAAAGCTCCGATCATGATGTTTAATCTAGATAAAGAAGATAAAACAGGTGAATAAGTCATCAGATTCTTTAGAACAATGGCTTCTATGCTCCACATCTTTTGAAGTATGTGAAATTCTGATTTACATGGTCCGTGAATGCTTCGGAGCTCCGAGCAAAAAAATACTCTGTGTGTACACGTCTACACATTTCCGTCAACCATGTCTGTTTTTTAAGTTTTCGTGCTTCTATGGTACCGCGCACAATCGTTTGACTGACGTATAAGGAGGAAAGACCCCAGAAACGAACCCTGAGTAACAGCGCAAAGAACCACTCGCTACCCAGTTTTACTGTTGCTGAGGCGACACGAATTGCTTTGTTATAAAGTGTGATATGATCAACCGAAGTTATTTGCACATGCCCACGCATTCTTAACTTGACAAGAGAATTTCATGCTCCACCACACCGAGTAATAATTGCTGATGGCCTAGTATTCTTGTATTTATGCTCTCTCTGAAGCACTGCAGCTGTTTTTGAATCTCTCTGTGCTAGAAGTTCAAGGCTATACGCCATGGTAGCTTGTGACTGGTTTGTCGAACAACCAGACAGACTTCCCAAGCGGTTTAGCGACTTGTTACTGACGTTCATATTAAACAAATTAAAATACACAAGTTAATCAAAATTGAAGATCAGGTCGAGCAGCGTCTTAATTAAACTTTTAATTAATTATATTTAGTGTTTTGGTTAAACTTAGCTAAACCTGCAGCTTTGGCGTAATTTGTTGAAGCACATTGGGCGATCGCCGATAAAAGAATGATCAAACATTAACGACGATAACAGAAAGGCAGAACCTGGGCGGCAGCTGTCGTAGTCGTTCGTTTTGTTGGAAATAACTGTGCTTCCGAGCGTTTCATGATTTTTTTCTGTTGAAGATTACAAAGGGTTTTGGAACTTCCTGGACAGATGTTGTGATGCTTACTGATTATTTCAGCACAATTTGAATGCATTTGCATTTTGCTGTTCATTGAATGGTCATGGATTCCCCCTGCTGAAGAAATGCCACAGATCCGGCACCCTTTTCTGTTTCTAAGCTACGTTCTATGTAGGCTGCTGTAATATAGTGACAAGTATTTTAGCTAAAAAATGTTGAAAAACTCCTTCAAGGGAAGAACGTCATATTTATCGATGTTATAGAGTCAAATATCATAGTTTTCTGAAATCAAAATGACATAATATTTCAATTTGCTGAAATGAAACTATTGGATCACATCAAACCTTTATTATTTTAAATAAAGCCACAGATAAAAAGGGTGGTAGACAGTTTATAATATTCAAAATTTTAGTGCAATATACCAAGTCTTTTGGCAGGCATTAAAGCCAGTTTTTTCAAACCCGAAGAAGGCAGCTCAATTTTTCTAAAAGCAGGAAACGCAATTATAACATTGTTTGAAAAAGCGAATAATTGCGGCCTTCCTCATCCGGCAGGTTGCTGTAATGACGACTTTATCTGCTCTATGTAAAGGTACCTTGAAACATACAGGTGTTATTCAGGTAAAGCAAAAGTGGAAAAACATAACTGTTGTGTATGTTGTTTATGTTGAAAGAAATGAGTGGGCATTCTCCTCTGCAGATGCGAATTAACTTAGCAGAGCAGACGGGTGTTTGTAGCACTGCCCTACAAGGACTGCGCCGAGACTTAAAACGAGTAAAGAAAACCTCGAATCTCAGGAACGGAATCCACTGTGTCGTAGAGTGGAGGAAAGTTACCTGAGAATGTGTTTATATGTCATGCTTCTAACGCATTCAAAATGTACGGTAGACTTTGCACCACAAAAAATTTAATACTTGCAAGGGGGACTTACATTGCTCGAGGTCTGTTATCAATTCGAGACAGATAGTCTACTCCATATATGTAGGTTGCTACAGTACCATGACACTATTAAATCAATTATATTTCCTTTGCAGTTGTTTTCCTTTAATTTTCATTCCTTTAAAATGTTCTTCCCTCCTTCTCCACAATTTCCATGGGAGGGAATCGAAAGTTCCCTTCTGTTTCCAAGATCTTTCCTTAATGCCGAATTTAATGATTTCTATTAGCCAGGTTCAATGATTGGCCAATACGTAGAGAGCGATATCAGTAAGGGTGTACTAAAAGCAAACAATCATCAAGTTATATTGTAGAGTAATCGAATCGCTCGGTTTTTTGTTAAGAAACACTGCCAGTTGACAATGGCACCCACAAAGAAAAACCCTCTCCAAAGCCCAGTTCCAGATAGACTGAACCTTTGAAAGCCCTTGGTTTGAATTCTGTTTGGCTCAGCTTAATGTTGATTCTACTCTAGATTGGCGTCCTTGTTTGTGGCTCTTTGAGATAGTATTGGGTGATTCTGTTTACTTGTTTACTTTGGTAAATTCGGCAGCGAATTTTTGCACCTTTTATGAGGACCCTAGGCCGTTAGTTGTGACATCATTTTTGTTCAAAGAGTTACAGTGTCGTAGTGGTGTGTTCCTCGTGATAGGTTACAGCTGGTGGGATTCAGGTGCTAATGAAAAAGTAATGTGCCCAGTCTTGAGGTATTCGAGAGTGTTAGAATCAGACGAGGTCGCATTTAGGCCCTTTTGAACGGTTATCATGGACTTTTTGTGATTCGTGCGTCTTGATAGTGGTAAGTTGAAACTATTTGAAATCAATAAGTAGTATAAAGTACATATTCATACCATAGTAATAGCGAATAGTATTTGAGCAAGAATAAGCAACATTTTTCTTTTGATCTGTGCTCATTAAACTATAACAATTTTCTACTCAACAGGTTTTCTGAAAGATTGCCCAGACGGAACTTTAACTGTTGAAGAATTCAAAAAGATTTACGGAAACTTCTTCCCGTATGGAGACGCGGCGAAATTCGCGGAACACGTGTTCCGGACCTTTGACCAAAATGGCGATGGTAGAATTGACTTCAGGGAGTTTATCTGTGCGTTATCAGTCACTAGCAGAGGAACCTTGGAACAAAAACTCAAGTGGGCCTTTTCCATGTATGATCTTGATGGCAACGGGTAAGTTGTTTCTGAATTTTTACCACTCTGAAAGTACTTTTATTCACTAACTTTGTTTTTTTCAAAATCAAACAACTTTCTGTCAATGTCATCATTCGGCAGTTATTTCCTGATATGTAATTTGCTCCAAAATTTAGACCATGATTAAATAAATTTTGAATTCTCTTTTTTAAAGTCAAAAGGAAAATATATACCACGCCCTCTGAAAACACCACACCCTCGAAAGAATTCAAAAACATAACTGATAATTCAACGTAACTACCTAGGGAACTTCTTTGGCAAGAACACCAATATCAACCAACCATGAACAATATATTTGATACTATTACATAAACGACAAGCCGTTATATTTCATTTCATTTGCTAAGAACTAAAAAACATTTGATTTCGAACTATTTACAAGCAAAACACCTTATTTTGAAATTAAAAAAGATCATTTCATTTCGGAATTAATCATCTTCCAACGGAACTGAGACGATCTTGGGTACTGAAGTTGATCCACACTTGAAAACGTAGAACTGAAGTTGATAATTTTCATCTTAGGTACATTTCTCGGGATGAAATGTTAGAGATTGTGCGGGCAATTTACAAGATGGTGGGAAACGTTGTGAAGATGCCAGAAGATGAGAGCACGCCAGAGAAGCGAGTCGATAAGATATTCCGACAAATGGACAAAAATGTTGACGGGAAATTATCGGTAGGCGAGTTCATTGAGGGCGCCAAGAGCGACCCATCGATCGTCAAACTGCTGCAATGCGACCCAGCAGGTGGCAAGTGAACACGGGACAAGGCATAGAGGTTAACGTATAACAAAGGTTTCAACAGTCTCAATCATCATACTAATGGAATTGTTGTTATATATTATCAAGGATTTTAATTTACAAAGGACACCCAAATATCTTGTTAAATTCATTTTTTGCTGTTTATTGCCATTCCTTACAAATACGTTTTTGTCGCTCGCACCCATATGGGTTTTTTACAAGTTGGATTCACCATGCAAATCTATATCGTAACTTGATAGCAATATGTTAGCTCTAGTTTCCGATAACAATAATCTATAAACAAGTTCATGTGTCGTTTTTCTCCATTCTCACCTCCTGACATCATCCTGACAACTCCAAAATTTGTCATTCTGCCTTGAGAGCAATTTGTATCATTAAGTTTTACAGTTCCAGCATTTCAAACATACTCGAGAAATTTTACATCGCTTTACAAACGTAGATCGTTGTGGCTTTTCAACCTATTTTGCATTGCTTTCCATCAAAGGGCATTGTTTTTTCACATTTTTTAATAGACTGTCAAATTTACTTCGAAAATAGCTTTCAATTGTTATTTCAGTGATTTCGACGTTATTTCGATAAAGATAAGCAGGAGAATTGCATAAGTACAAAACAGAATTTTCTATGTTGGTTGCAACATTATCAACAATCTCTTCCAAATGATAGGCTTTCTCAAAAAATATCTAAAAAACCAAAAATAAAAAGTAGAAATTGGCCTTCAACCATTGTCAAACATTGTTTATTTTTCAGTGAAGTTGGCAAAAGATTCCCCTTTACGTATTGTTACTACAAAGCGAACAAATCTTGATTGGTTATTAGCGAGATCCCCTTCTTGGGAATCCTCCAGGAAATCCATAAATCACGTTGCTAAATAAAATCTCGTTTAAAGAATTCGGTGTAATATTCTCCAGCACATTTTGGCAGTTTCATGAAGGATTCTCAAGTAGGGGATCCCCTTAACAACCAATCCAGGTTTGTCCGCTATGGTATTGCTACCTGAACCTAGACCTTTCGTGCCGACATTTTGAGCATTGCAAAATATATACCAATGTTCATGCCATACTTGTCAGGAAATTAACTAAAAATAGAATTCAGGGCCTTGATCTTCAATGCTGCTAGTGACATCGCGTCTCCTGTGGTGCTCTATTAAGATTTTTCTTTCCAAAAACCTGCTTTCTACTGTTCTATATTAGAGAATTGATTTTCTGCTCTAAAAATGCAATTTATTTAGTCAATCCATTGAAAATGATTTTCTGCTTTAAAAATATAGCTTTTTTGTGATAAAGATTTCTGCAAAGAAACAAGGCTATAGGCTTACCGAAATGCCAAAAATTTGATCGAATTTTTTCCTTTCAAAAATTGCTTTTCTTTGTCCCTAAATAAGAAAATAAACATTCAAAATATGTTTTTGCTCCCCTGAAAGTGATCTTTTGCTCTAAAAATGCAGCTTTTTGGATAAAGATTTCTGCAAAAAAGCAAGGCTTTAGGCTTACCGAAATGCCAAAAATTTGATCGAATTTTTTCCTTTCAAAAGTTGCATTTCTTTGTCCCTAGATAAAAAAATAGACCTTTGAAATATGTTTTTGCTCCCCTGAAAGTGATTTTTTGCTCTAAAAATGCAGCTTTTTTTAATAAAGATTTCTGCAAAAAAGCAAGGCTATAGGCTTACCGAAATGCCAAAAATTTGATCGAATTTTTTCCGTTCAAAAGTTGCATTTCTTTGTCCCTAGATAAAAAATAAACATTTGAAATATGTTTTTGCTCCCCTGAAAGTGATTTTTTGCTCTAAAAATGCTGCTTTTTAGATAAAGATTTCTGCAAAAAAGCAAGGCTATAGGCTTACCGAAATGCCAAAAATTTGATCGAATTTTTTCCTTTCAAATGTTGCATTTCTTTGTCCCTAGATAAAAAAATAGACCTTTGAAATATGTTTTTGCTCCCCTGAAAGTGATTTTTTGCTCTAAAAATGCAGCTTTTTTTAATAAAGATTTCTGCAAAAAAGCAAGGCTATAGACTTACCGAAATGCCAAAAATTTGATCGAACTTTTTCCTTTCAAAAGTTGCATTTCTTTGTCCCTAGATAAGAAAATAAACATTTGAAATATGTTTTTGCTCCCCTGAAAGTGATCTTTTGCTCTAAAAATGCTGCTTTTTAGATAAAGATTTCTGCAAAAAAGCAAGGCTATAGGCTTACCGAAATGCCAAAAATTTGATCGAATTTTTTCCTTTCAAAAGTTGCATTTCTTTGTCCCTAGATAAGAAAATAAACATTTGAAATATGTTTTTGCTCCCCTGAAAGTGATCTTTTGCTCTAAAAATGCTGCTTTTTAGATAAAGATTTCTGCAAAAAAGCAAGGCTATAGGCTTACCGAAATGCCAAAAATTTGATCGAATTTTTTCCTTTCAAATGTTGCATTTCTTTGTCCCTAGATAAAAAAATAGACCTTTGAAATATGTTTTTGCTCCCCTGAAAGTGATTTTTTGCTTTTAAAAATGCAGCATTTTTTAATAAAGATTTCTGCAAAAAAGCAAGGCTTTTTCCTTTCAAAAGTTGCATTTCTTTGTCCCTAGATAAAAAAATAAACATTTGAAATATGTTTTTGCTCCCCTGAAAGTGATTTTTTGCTCTAAAAATGCAGCTTTTTTTAATAAAGATTTCTGCAAAAAAGCAAGGCTTTAGGCTTACCGAAATGCCAAAAATTTGATCGAGTTTTTTCCTTTCAAAAGTTGCATTTCTTTGTCCCTAGATAAAAAAATAAACGTTTGAAATATGTTTTTGCTCCCCTGAAAGTGATTTTTTGCTCTAAAAATGCAGCTTTTTTTAATAAAGATTTCTGCAAAAAAGCAAGGCTTTAGGCTTACCGAAATGCCAAAAATTTGATCGAATTTTTTCCTTTCAAAAGTTGCATTTCTTTGTCCCTAGATAAAAAATAAACATTTGAAATATGTTTTTGCTCCCCTGAAAGTGATTTTTTGCTCTAAAAATGCAGCTTTTTTTAATAAAGATTTCTGCAAAAAAGCAAGGCTATAGGCTTACCGAAATGCTAAAAATTTGATCGAGTTTTTTTCAAAAGTTGCATTTCTTTGTCCCTAGATTAAAAAATAAACATTTGAAATATGTTTTTGCTCCCCTGAAAGTGATTTTTTGCTCTTAAAATGCAGCTTTTTTTTGATAAAGATATCTGCAAAAAGGCAAGGCTATAACCTTACCGAAATGCCAAAAATTTGATCGAATTTTTTCCTTTAAAAGTTGCATTTCTTTGTCCCTAGATTAAAAAATAAACATTTGAAATATGTTTTTGCTCCCCTGAAAGTGATTTTTTGCTTTTAAAAATGCAGCATTTTTTAATAAAGATTTCTGCAAAAAAGCAAGGCTTTTTCCTTTCAAAAGTTGCATTTCTTTGTCCCTAGATAAAAAAATAAACATTTGAAATATGTTTTTGCTCCCCTGAAAGTGATTTTTTGCTCTAAAAATGCAGCTTTTTTTAATAAAGATTTCTGCAAAAAAGCAAGGCTTTAGGCTTACCGAAATGCCAAAAATTTGATCGAGTTTTTTTTTTCAAAAGTTGCATTTCTTTGTCCCTAGATTAAAAAATAAACATTTGAAATATGTTTTTGCTCCCCTGAAAGTGATTTTTTGCTTTTAAAAATGCAGCTTTTTTTAATAAAGATTTCTGCAAAAAAGCAAGGCTTTTTCCTTTCAAAAGTTGCATTTCTTTGTCCCTAGATAAAAAAATAAACATTTGAAATATGTTTTTGCTCCCCTGAAAGTGATTTTTTGCTCTAAAAATGCAGCTTTTTTTAATAAAGATTTCTGCAAAAAAGCAAGGCTTTAGGCTTACCGAAATGCCAAAAATTTGATCGAATTTTTTCCTTTCAAAAGTTGCATTTCTTTGTCCCTAGATAAAAAATAAACATTTGAAATATGTTTTTGCTCCCCTGAAAAGTAATTTTTTGCTCTAAAAATGCAGCTTTTTTTAATAAAGATTTCTGCAAAAAAGCAAGGCTATAGGCTTACCGAAATGCTAAAAATTTGATCGAGTTTTTTTTCAAAAGTTGCACTTCTTTGTCCCTAGATTAAAAAATAAACATTTGAAATATGTTTTTGCTCCCCTGAAAGTGATTTTTTGCTCTTAAAATGCAGCTTTTTTTTGATAAAGATATCTGCAAAAAGGCAAGGCTATAACCTTACCGAAATGCCAAAAATTTGATCGAATTTTTTCCTTTAAAAGTTGCATTTCTTTGTCCCTAGATTAAAAAATAAACATTTGAAATATGTTTTTGCTCCCCTGAAAGTGATTTTTTGCTTTTAAAAATGCAGCATTTTTTAATAAAGATTTCTGCAAAAAAGCAAGGCTTTTTCCTTTCAAAAGTTGCATTTCTTTGTCCCTAGATAAAAAAATAAACATTTGAAATATGTTTTTGCTCCCCTGAAAGTGATTTTTTGCTCTAAAAATGCAGCTTTTTTTAATAAAGATTTCTGCAAAAAAGCAAGGCTTTAGGCTTACCGAAATGCCAAAAATTTGATCGAGTTTTTTCCTTTCAAAAGTTGCATTTCTTTGTCCCTAGATAAAAAAATAAACATTTGAAACATGTTTTTGCTCCCCTGAAAGTGATTTTTTGCTCTAAAAATGCAGCTTTTTGGGTAAAGATTTCTGCAAAAAAGCAAAGCTATAGGCTTACCGAAATGCCAAAAGTTTGATCGAATTTTTTCCTTTCAAAAGTTGCATTTCTTTGTCCTTAGATAAAAAATAAACATTTGAAATATGTTTTTGCTCCCCTGAAAGTGATTTTTTGCTCTAAAAATGCAGCTTTTTTTAATAAAGATTTCTGCAAAAAAGCAAGGCTATAGGCTTACCGAAATGCTAAAAATTTGATCGAGTTTTTTTTCAAAAGTTGCACTTCTTTGTCCCTAGATTAAAAAATAAACATTTGAAATATGTTTTTGCTCCCCTGAAAGTGATTTTTTGCTCTTAAAATGCAGCTTTTTTTTGATAAAGATATCTGCAAAAAGGCAAGGCTATAACCTTACCGAAATGCCAAAAATTTGATCGAATTTTTTCCTTTAAAAGTTGCATTTCTTTGTCCCTAGATTAAAAAATAAACATTTGAAATATGTTTTTGCTCCCCTGAAAGTGATTTTTTGCTCTAAAAATGCAGCTTTTTTTAATAAAGATTTCTGCAAAAAAGCAAGGCTATAGGCTTACCGAAATGCTAAAAATTTGATCGAACTTTTTCCTTTCAAAAGTTGCATTTCTTTGTCCCTAGATAAAAAAATAAACATTT